GTATCACACTAAGCGCTAGAGCTGAGGCAGCACTAATCGATTGGATCCCCATTAACAGTCGGTTATGTGCTGTTAGATTGGAGAGTTCCATCAAAGTGAGAAGAAATCGGCGTGAGAAACGATGTCTTTTCGTCATCTCCGCCTATGCCCCGACAGATTGCAGCCCGGATGCAATCAAGGATGAGTTTTACCACTAGTTATCTGTTCTTCTCCAGAAAGTGCGTTCGACAGATATTGTAGTACTAGCCGGAGACTTGAGTGCGGGGACCGTCTACTGCAACTGTTCACAGACTACAACCTGTTTCTGGCTAGCACTAACTTTCGGCACAGTCATCGCCGATGTGCCACCTGGCGTCCTCCCTCTGCATCTCAAGCCTGGACTCAGATTGATCACATCGCGATCAGCTACCGCTGGCGTGGTTGTGTACAAGACTGCCGCTCCTTTTGGAGTACCTATCTGGACTCTGACCATGCCTTGGTCTGCGCCAATCTTACCTTACTTTTCAGTGGACAACGAAGTGACCGCCATCAACGGATTGATGTTAGCAAGCTGGTTGCAACTTCTGTTGCAAGTAAGTATCGAACCGAGCTAGCTTCTAGGCTAGCTACCATTCCACCGAAAAGTATAGATGAGCATTGGTTGCAATTGCATGACGCCATGGAAATGGCGGGTACAGTCAGTTGTGGGTTCGCGAAACGTCCCGCTTTTAAGCACTGGGTTTCTTCAGGTTCCTTACAACTCATTGAAGCCCGTCGGTCTACTCCAGGTGACCTCGAGTTTGACCACAAACGAAGGTTGTTACATAGTGAAATTGGGCAAAGCTTGCGTAAGGACCGAGAAGCCTGAAGGTCGGAGTGTGCTAATGAGTTGGAAGCAGCAGCTGCATCTGGTAATTACCGGAAGCTCTTCCAACTCATCCGAGCCACTGGCAGCAAGAAGTCTGGTGTGAGCGAAACAATCTGTGAGGATGATGGGCAGAATTTTTTGAAGGGCAGTTCAACTGGCCTGCTGCTCCGGCAACATCGGTCAGACTGTCCTGCCCTCCATGGCCGGTGACGACTGATCCACCAAATGAGGAGGAAGTCCGCAAGGAACTCCAACTCTTGAAGCGTTACAAATCACCTGGCCCAGATGACTTACCTCCGGCTCTTTTTAAAGATGGTGGTGACTTTTTGACTAAGGAATTGACGACGTTGTTTACAAAGGTTTGGGAACTAGAGAGTGTACCAACGTCATGGAATGAGTCGATAGTTGTCCCTATCTTTAAAAAGGGTTCACGTCGTTCCTGTAACAACTATCGGGGGATAAGTCTACTTCCGATTGCGTCCAAGCTATTGGCTTCCGTCATACTTCGTAGGTTGTTCAAAACCCGAGAAAGATTGACTCGCGAGGAGCAGGCTGGGTTTCGTTCTGGTCGAGGATGTATTGATCATATCTTCACCCTCCGCCAAATGTTAGAACACCGCCATACTTATCAAAGGCCAACAATCGTAGTGTTTCTTGACATCAGGGCTGCCTTCGATTCGTTGGACAGGACTGTTCTCTGGGATTGTCTATTGAAGAAGGGTGTGCCTGAGAAGTTTATTAACATCCTAAAAGCCCTATAAAAACACCTCAGGCAGAGTGAGGGCATACAACCACCTCTCTCCATTGTTCCATTCGAGCAGTGGGGTTAGGCAGGGTTGCCCAATCTCACCATTCCTCTTCAACTTTGCCATCGATGACATTCTGGAAACAGCTCTGATGAATGTAAGTAATGGTGGTGTGGATCTGTTGCCTGGAGAAAGACTTCTCGACCTTGAGTATGCGGACGATATTGTCTTACTGTGCGATAATGCCCAAGGCATGCAATCCGCACTTAATCAGTTGGCAATCAGTGTCCGTAGGTATGGTATGTGCTTTGCACCTTCGAAGTGCAAAGTACTTCTACAAGACTGGCAGGATTCTAATCCTGTACTCACCCTGGATGGTGAGCAGATAGACGTAGTCGAGAAGTTCGTGTATCTGGGTAGCTGCATAAGTGCTGGTGGGGGTGTGAGTGATGAGATCAATGCACGTATAGTGAAAGCCAGAGCGGCTTATGCCAATCTGGGCCACCTTTGGCGCCTTCGTGATGTTAGTCTGGCTGTAAAAGGTCGGATCTACAACGCGTCGGTGAGAGCAGTTTTGCTCTATGCTTGTGAAACCTGGCCTCTCCGAGTTGAGGACGTTAGACGACTCTCTGTGTTCGATCATCGCTGTCTCCGAAGGATTGCTGACATTCAGTGGCAACACCATGTCAGTAATGCAGAGGTTCGGCATCGTGTGTTCGGGCACAGAGATGATAATCAATTGGTGTCACCATCTTGAAACACCGACTTCGGTGGCTTGGACATGTTCTCCGAATGTCGTCCCAGAGAATTCCACGTCGTGCATTATTTGCCGACTCTGGGACTGGTTGGAAGAAGCGGAGAGGTGGTCAGTGCATGACATGGTGTCGTGGCATGAAAGAAAGCTGCAAAGGACTGGCTTGTGTTGGTCCTTCACGACTCCCTGGTTGGGGTCCGAGAGATGGTGCTACACAGTGGCTAGAGACGTTATCAGATATGGCTCAGAATAGAAGCCAGTGGCGATCCTGCTGTAACCTTCTTTTACTTTCTTCATAAAAAGTGGTTGTATCTTCCTTAACTGAAAGATTTCTTCTGATTGTACCCTTCTGTTCCCCTACTATTGCTATTATTATTATTACACTAAATTACACCAATCTCTTCGTTATTGTTTTTTATCGTTATTATTATTATTATCATCATTTTTTTACGTCCCTCACTTTTTTTGTTCTTAGATTCTCATTGTTTTGTGTGGCGCATATATATATCTGGCGCACTCCTGTACCAATGTATATGTGTTCAAATAAATAAATAAATAAATAAATAAATAAATAAATAAATAAATAGACCTCCATCTCCCAGATCAACAAACTGGATTCTGCAAGCATCCGTTGTGCATAGACCGGATCGCCACATTACGGATCATCGTTGAACAATCAATTGAATGGATCTCGTCACTATACATCAACTTACTTGACTATCAGAAAGCGTTTGACAATGTGGGTAGGAGAACATTATGGAACCTTCTTCAACAATATGGAGTGAGCAGCTGAGAAGATCGTCAACATCATACGGAATTCATGTGACGGAATACACAACAAAGTCGTCCATGGAGGACAGTTGACAGATAGCACAGAAGCACAGAAACCAAAACAACTGTCAACCAATATCATGGTCAGAATCTGAAATTATTATTATTATTATTATTATTATTATTATTATTATTATTATTATTATTATTATTATTATTATTGGTTAAACATGATCATTAATCTCTCCAATACATGACTGATTTACTTTTCGTTCATCCCTTCTTATTATGTCTTACTAAGGATTTTTTCCACAATATTGTTTTTCATTAAACATTTGATCGAATTGTAATTGCACTATTATTTCTCTCACCCTATTTTGACTCATATTTATTCTGATCATGGATCTTAAATTTCCACTTAGCATATAAACTAATTCCAGTTAACATTCCATATGAGTCATGTCAACATTAACAATTTTATTCTATTTTGTTTATTTTGTTTAACAATCCTAAATCCACATGCTTTAACTTTAAACGATGTACTTTACTCTTAATCGGTTCATTTTTCGGATTATTAATTTGGATATATAATTGTAGAACCTGAAGAGAGTTTATCGAATAGAATATTCCTCGTTCAAATATTAGTCTTTGGACAATGTTCGTCTTAATTACTAGTGAGACGATAACATTTCAAGACTTCTGTATATCTTAACAATATACAGTCTGAACAAGCGCAACGTACAGTTTTGTGTAAATCCCATCTAAATCAGTAGAAGCCAGTAAGCTCTTCAGGAAAAAATATGAGCTTATGCAAAGTTCTCGAGACTTCAAAATTGGATTAAACAAACAAACAAACAAACAAGTTGGTAATTTACGTTGCTGTATTTTACGCGCAAGCAGCGAAATCCTTTTTGTAAAGCAGACAGGCACGTCATAGTATACACTTTCTTATCACATTCGGAAACTTTGTAACAACTCAAAAGCGTTTAGAGCTACAGTGAATATATATAACATCAAGTCACAAACATCATAGGCTTAGATGATATTTAGAAGTGGAATTCAGGGCACGTTTCGTCCTATTTGGGACTCAGCAGTTGGATACACCTGTGTCTCAGAGTTGATGTTCACTCCGGGACTCGAACACTGTACCGTTCGTTTCAAACGCCACCGCGTTATCCATTTAGCTACTGAATCCAGACAGTCACTAGCTTGTGCAGTGAGGAGAAGTTTGATTCATTTTAGTATTGGTTTCTTGAATCTTTACATTGATGTTTAGGACTGTAATTAATCCGTCTCTTATTGGCGTATTTGTCCTAGAGTGGACATCAACTATAGGATGCACGTACGTGCAGATGATAAGTCCCAAATAGGACGAAACACGCGTCCTGGATTCCACTTTTAGACACCATCATCTCATCTTATAAGTAGCTGATCATTAAACCAAATACTGCAGTTGTATATCAGGGCCCTAACTAAGTATATAATGAACCGTTGTATAGATGTTACACAAATTAGTGCGATTTGTTATCAAACTAATAGAGTAAAACATAATTCACAATACTATTGATTCCTTTGATGATAGTGATCTAAGCTGTAAGACAAAGCCTTTTATTAGTTCTTATCTATGGAAGAATATTTTAATCATTTTAGCTTAGTCATATTAATATTTCAGTTTACATTAAGCCTAAGAAATTATTATTGAACATAAGTAGCAGTAACAAACAGAATGAAATTTTATTGATTACATTATTTATCGCTATGTAATTGGTTGATTAAGTATGTCATGTGAATAGATTGTCCCACCAATAGGTAAGATCACTATTAGAACTTCCAATTTTCGTGAATTTGCGTCTCGTCAATAAACACCAGATGAATAAATATCATGCAGGCTATAATCATTGGATTTACCTTATCCTTCATTAGTACCTTCAAATCTGCAGAATTTTATCCTCAATGTTCAAATATTACCAATGTTCAACGTTTAGATTGTTATCCAAATTTTGGTTCTAATGAAGGTGGATGCATCAAAAGAGGATGTTGTTGGGTGCCTAAAAGTGGAAATAATGAATTACCATACTGTTATTTTCCAAAAGATTATTCTGCATATATTGTATTATCAACTGAGAAAACTAAACGTGGCTTTATTGGACAATTGAGCAAACCTAATCCAACCTATTACCCAGATGAAATAAAAAGTATTGCCGTTGAAATTAGAGAGGAGACTTCCACTAGACTTCGTATACGATTTACTGTACCTTCACAGCCAGACAGATGGGAACCACCTATTCCATTGGGAAATGTGGATGATACTCCTGTAAAAAACGTTCAATACAAAGTTGACATGGAGAAATCACCCTTTGGATTAAAGGTAAGACATAAGTTTTTGTTGCGTTTAGAACACTAATAAGCTGTAAACCGTCCTGATTTTCGTGAATATATACCACTTTATCCAATCTTGATGATCTAGACCTGTAAAATACTGTCAATATTTATCTGATAAAACATTATTTAAATGTATACTGCTTTTTGTAGTGACTGCTCTCAAACAAAGCAAATGATGGGACTTATTCACCAAACCTTTCGGTTTATTGGGAATGAAAATTTGTGGTCTGTTCTTTAAACAGGTCTATATGAAATTATTTTCACTTAATTAAATCAACAAAGCTGGCACCTACCTACCGTTCATTCTTTAGGTCATTATCTGCAACTGACATAACCTGATTACCGTTTTTAGTGGTTTTCAGCTGTTCAGTTTCATATAAGAATAAATTTAGATAATTAGGATAAATTAATGTGTCATTGAATAAAAATAAAGAGAATTCTGCGAAGAAAGTTTTCTTTTCTACGAAATCATTTACTTAAGATGTACATTCGTATTTGTAGTTGTATCTCTATAGAAGGATACACAAGATTACATCATGAAGTGATTCAAGACTCTTAATATCAAATGACGTTGCGTAATAGTCATGAGGTTAGAGGAGAATAGAAGGACGGAAATAATTTGCGTGTCAGAATTATGAAAGATGATTGTCCGCTCGACAGATGAAGAAAAACATAAAAGTCATAATAAGTGAAAAAATAATCATAATAACTGACTAAGGTTTGAAATTACAAAAACTAATTAAAAAGAACAAGACTAAAACATACTACAGAAGGAAATTAGGGCCAAGGAAGAATGAGAGGTTGGACCTATCGTTTTTGCATGCGGAATTCGGGCTTAAATTGGTGAATCTCCGACGCCTCAGTAGTGCTTAAGTTTTTGATTCGACCTTACTTCAACCCGTTTGCTTTGATTGTGTAGATTATTTTAAAGGAAAACTTTCGGAGCAATGTGTCCAGGGTTGATTACATGCTCCTGTATTTAGAATTGGTCGACTCGATCATTCTGATAACAGGATATAATAAACAATATCACTTTAATTGTGTTTAAAACTTACAGGGAGAACTGAGATGACAAAATTTGAAAATTCATGTGTTTGATATTAATTTACCAAATTCAGATTAAGAAATTTATGATTTAAAATTACAAGTTGACCTCAATATAATGAACTTTTAATTGATTTACTGACATATATTTGAGAGATTGGATAAATTTGTTAATAAACATAGAATATTGATAACGTGTTCAATAGACATGATTCACGTTGTAAGCTATCATCAAGAACATGAGAGTTTTCACCTCCTCCAGGGTTTCCCCATCAAGTGTGCTTGTGTTGGTGTTCTCTGTGTCGCATTTGGGTATTTTGCTTTTTGCCTTGTGTATGTTGAAGCCTAACGTTTCAGAGTCTGCTGTTACACTGGTCGTATTCACCTGGAATTGTTGGTATGTATTGGATAGAAGAACTAGGCGCATCTGTGAAGTTCAAATAGTCTAGTTGCATCCAAGCTGTCCACTGTATTCCGTGCTTCCCGTCAGATGTCGAGGTCTTCATAATCCAGTGAACCACCAGAAGAGAGAGGAAGGGCGAGATTAGACAACCTTGTCTTTCTCCGGTCCCCACTTGGAATGTATCTGTCAACTGTCCTCCATGGACGACTTTGTTGTGTATTCCGTCACATGAATTCCGTATGATGTTGACGATCTTCTCAGCTGCTCACTCCATATTGTTGAAGAAGGTTCCATAATGTTCTCCTACCCACAATGTCAAATGCTTTCTGATAGTCAAGTAAGTTGATGTATAGTGACGAGATCCATTCAATTGATTGTTCAACGATGATCCGTAATGTGGCGATCCGGTCTATGCACAACGGATGCTTACAGAATCCAGTCTGTTGATCTAGAAGCTGGACGTCTACCGAATCCTTCATCTGATTCAGCAACACTCTGTTGAAAATCTCTCCTGGAACTGACAGTTATGTGATGCGTAGTGATGTGTAGTTTTCACATTTGCTCACATCTTTCATTGTAATCTTGAGGTGATGAGGTGTCCTTCTTTCCAGTCTATCGGTGTCACTTGTTCTAGCTCACAAATCTTCCTGAGTGGAACGTGGAGCATGATTGCAGTGACTGCTATGTCTGATTTCAGTGATTCGCTTGGTATGTTGTCAGGTCCTTTTACTTTCGCAATCTTGATTTGTCTGATGACCGTCCTGAACTCTTCGGTCGTTTGAGGAGTGACATCTGCAGGAGGAAGGTCAGTGTGTGCTGCTTCGATATTTGGTGGTTGCAATGGAGCTGATCTATTGAAGAGTTCGTCAAAATGTTCCACTCATCTCTTCTTCTATTTTTGAATGTCGGTGATTGGATTTCCTATTTTGTACTTAACTGATCTCTCTGGTTTACTATATTTCCCTGTTAGTTTTTTCGTTGTGTCATATAGTTGTTTCATATTTCAATTTGTCGCAGCTTTTTCGTCTGTCATTGCTATGTGTTCGACGTATTTCTGCTTGTCGCCTCTGACGCTACTACTCACTTGCTTGTTGACTAGAGTGTGTTGGGCGTGTACCTCGACTTTCTCTGTTCTTGTTCGGCTATTGTTAACTTCTGCCTCATTGTTCTTCCCCTGTTGAATCTTGATCAGGCTGTCGATAGAGATGCATTCCTTATGATGATGCCTCTTGAGGCCCAGAACCCCCTGACACTTTGAAGTTAGTGCTTCTTTGATCCATTTCCAATTTCCTCCTTCGTAATTCTGCTTTCCCAGTTGTTGATTGCTTCTTTAGCGGGTGATGATCTGAAGGCATGTCAACTCCTCTCTTGGTTCTTGCATCCTCCATTGAAATTGTGAATTTCTTACTGATGCAGATGTGATCAATCTAGTTCACCATGGTGTGGTCAGGTGAGAGCCATGTAGCTTTGTGTATGCGTTTGTAGGGGGAAATTAGTGCCACGTGTTATGACTGGTGGTCGCTAATGATTATGTCGGACTCATTTATAAATTATGCTTGTGAAACGAGGAACCCCTACAATTCTCACGATGCTAGTAAGAAAATGAAGACTGGTACAAGTGAAGATTACTGAACCCTGAAAGCACGACTATCCCAGTCGAAAATACACTCATTTGTATATTGAATTTACACACATTTTGATAAATAATTACAATTAAATCATGTATATGAATAATACGCAGAGTTATAACAAATCATATCCTGCTGTTCACCCTGAGCGTAGTTCATGCTAATTTAATACATGAATACCGTATCTTGAACAGACATCATACTCGAATAAATTAATAATATGCCGAATGAAATATCACAGTGGAAACCAAAACAATTACTACAATGAGAAATCATTGCATTAGGTCAAAACTGGAAGTAATGTTGAACAATTACAATGAGTAAAACGGTGTAATTTTACCTTTTCCGTCACGTCATATAACCACCTACATCCAATTGGTTGAATGCACATAAATTTGCAAATCTCCCAGTTCATGTCGTTCCATCATATCTTCCTATCTGGTGTTGTCCATTCCGACCTTGTGGTTTAGGTCTCCCATCGGGATGGTCAGGTCCTCTCTTGTACATTTCTCTACGATCGATTGTAGCCTATCGTAAAACTGATCGTTATTGTCTACATTGCTATGGTTTGTGGGTGCATAGTACTCGATTACATTCATTGTAATTCCCTGTTTTGTTTTGAAGGATGCTTTTATGATTCCGGTTCCATGAGATTCTCATCCTACATGTGCTTTTCGTACCTCTCTTTGGGCAACATCAGGGCATCTCCCTTGGTGTGAGAAGCATTTTCTTCTTCGTGACCAGAGTGCAACAGAATCTCTCCCGAATCTAACTTTTGTTGTCCAGCTTGGTTCCAATGAGTTTCACTGATTCCGATCACTGCCAAGTTGTATCTCCTTATTTTCGTATGTATTTGACTGGTCCTGCTGGTCTCCCACATTTTCCTGACATTCCATGTACGTATATTAATTTGTTGTCTGGTTTTTAGGAGGAGGATGGTCCTCGTAATTTCTGAAGAAACTCGGCTTTCACTATTACGTATCATAATTCTTCTGAGTGAAGACCATTTGAATGTTTTGAATTGTTTATTCAGTCTAGCATATTTTTAGAAAGGTTGTTTTCTACGGGATGGGGTTACTGAACCGATGCCTAAGTTTTCTCCTTTACCAGGACAGGGCTTGAAGCGGCAGGCAGTAACGTTAGGAAGGCTACGTGCATTGAAATTACACTCGTACTACTTATAATTAGTGAGTAGTGTGATGACAATGACGAAATGACTAGATAAGGCTTGTTAACTTCGTGTAGTAAGTATTATTACATTGAAGTGGTTTTCAGATTCTTGCTCATGAAGTAATTTCCTATGAACTAGATATAAGCATAGAAACTTGTTTAAATCTGCTTTATTATTTGAAGTGATACCTAGTGCTTAATTTACTAGTGTATTTGCAATGTCCTGTTTTTTTAGTATAGCTCGCTAAATGAATATAGAATGCATAGGTAAACAGGTTTATCGAAATCACAACTGTATTTCTCCTAATATAGCGCAAATACATCTCATTTTTTAGATCAACTCCGTCTTCTCATTGCTATATGGACATTCTTAGCAATCCTTTACTGTTTTTTAGGCTCAAATAAGTTGTGAATTAAGTTGAATTTTGATAATATCTATATTTCTTGTTATATTTCAATGAGTAGGAATTGGTATTTTTACAGATGTGACTTTCGTTAAATCATGAAACGTTGAAAACGTACATTTCTAATCATCAGAATATCACAAACAATATAATCATTATTATTACCTTTCCTCCTTTGTTTCGAAGGTTTGTTTGACGGTAATGGATCCACAAGTTTCTCATCCTATAAGAGCTTTTTATTTTTCGTTGAACAACATTGGTGCGAGTCCCTATTTGTGTAGGGGATTCTCTTTTCTTTCACCAGAGTACATTGATATTTTCAGTTCACGTTATATCTAATGAATTTCACTCATTGCGAGCGCCCACATCTTTGCATCAACTCATTTCCAGTGCTTTTGAATGAGCCTTCCAGTCTAGTCTGGACACTTCACATATACAAGGTCAGATTGCTCTCAAATTATATCTAGGGTTTCAGGAAGTGATGGTTTGGTAAACAAGGAGTTCCATCAAAAGAAACCATTGAATTGCCAGTAATGTCTATATAAGTGAAACTGTCAGGAAATTAAAACTAGGAGTTATTGCTGTCTATGATATAGTAATCATAATTTACCAATTTACATATCAATTAACTGATTAACTCGTCATGGATATATAAGATGTTCATAACAATTTTCATTTTATGTTAAATAAAACATTAGCAAGGTTCACTGAAGAACGAACTCAATGAATCAAGATTCGCTTTCGCACTATGATCGTTAAAACAGAACAAAATAGGGGTATTACCATTTTTTAACCATAGGAATCATAGAAGATATGATTGACATGCAGTGTGGTCATCGAGTATCAAATGTCGTATGTGAACAGGTTGAAAAGGAAACTTAAAGGTCAATTAGACCATGGGAAACTAAACTCTTAAATACATTTATTATTTGTCTAACATTTTCTGGCATTTGACGACTACTGTAATAGGATTTTAATGACGGTGAATCCATCGTTTCTTAATCTTCCTCTACATCTAGACTATTTGTTACATTCACCATGCTAACTTAGTTTACTAGTGGTATTAACTTTCTTTTTGTTATATCCGAGTGGAGATTAAACTACAGGTAACTTCCGAGGACTATTCATGGACTAATATTCTATAAATATTCTTATTGTATAACTACTCAACAATTACACTATGTATATTTATATCCCTCTTATGACAAGCTTTATTTTGGCCTATAATTTATTATTGTACGATTTACGGTTCTTAAGTTATGTTCAGTTTATTAACTACTGCCTCCCACATTCACAGCCACTTTTTGGGCTTATTTGTGTACAAATATTATTTCCTATTTTATGGTACGTTGCGGTCTGTGTGATTGATATATAAACCAAGTATGCCTGAAATAAACGATCTGCTCTGATTCGGAAGCTGGTATCTTGTTCTGGACTCAAGTGGAAGGGCTCGTAGGACATAGGACCAATAAGGACGCTAAACTGCCCACACCGGTTGAACGTCATTGGTTGGCCTAGTGTAAAGATCCGTATAAGTCGTATCCGGATTGGTCGATAGGTCGCGTGGTAGCAAAACAAGACATCCAAGGTCATAACACTTTTTTCCTAGTTTATTTCGCTATTGAGAAATATTAATGGTCAAATTTGGTTTAATAGCTTTTTAGATAAAACTACCTTTTTTAAAATTATTTTTATTTTATAAAAACTTTAGATAATAAGAAATACTAAAGAGCGAGATGTACTTTTGGACTCAACAGGACAGTTGGCTAGTTCGCTTATATTTTCAGATCAGTTTTTGCAGATATCATTTCGTGTGAATGCTCATGTAAGCTTTGGTCCTGGGGAAATAGAACAAAAATATCCAAACGCTTTTGATACGTGGACGCGAGTAGCTCTTTGGGGTCACGATGGAAATCCACAGTCGTATGCGAATCTATATGGAACTCACAATTTCATCATGGGTTTAAAGTATGATGGCACAGCATTTGGAATCTTCTTTTTAAACAGCAACGCACAAGAAGTAGCAATAACACCTCTACCAGCCATCACATATAGAACCATTGGTGGAATATTAGATTTCTTCGTGTTCACTGGACCGAAACCACTAGATGTGATAAATCAATATTATGATCTTATAGGTCACCCACCGATACCCCCATACTGGTCACTTGGATTTCATATCTGTAGATATGGAATGAAAAATCTGGATGAAGTCAAAGAGGTCCTCAAGCGAAATATGGAAGCTGGAATTCCGATAGATGCTCAGTGGTTTGACATTGATTATATGGATGCATACAAAATTTGGTCAGTGGACACGAAACGATTTGGTGAAATGGATGTTTTTGTTAGGGATGTTTTACGCAAGAATTATAGTATAAGAACAGTGTTGATCGTAGATCCAGCTATTAGCACAAAAGGTGGTCCCGGATATCGGCCATATGAGGATGGTATGAGACTCGGTATTTTCATTAATGATAGTCGAACTGGGACACCGATTCTAGGTACGGTGTGGCCAGGGGAGACAGTTTTCCCAGATTTCTCACATCCGTCTGCTGAGGATTGGTGGTTCAAGTCGGCGTCTGATTTCCACAAAGTGATTAACTTCGACGGTTTGTGGATAGACATGAACGAACCGGCCAATTTCGATTGTGGTTCACTCAATGGTTGTTCATCATCGAATACACTTGACAATCCGCCTTTTGTGCCAAAATTCTTGGAAACTCATTATACGACAAAACCATCTGTCCATCAGCCTTACATTACAACACAACACACTATAATTTGCATAATATATATGGTTACGATGAAGCACGAGTAACGCACAATGTTTTAACTCGAATGTTTCCTGATAAACGACCTTTCATATTGACACGTTCAAGCTTTGCAGGTTCAGGTTTGTATGCCGCTCACTGGACAGGAGATGTTTTATCGAATTGGGATAGTTTGAAAACGTCTGTGGTTCAAATCATTAACTTTAATATGTTTGGTATTCCGATGGTTGGTGCTGATATATGTGGGTTTACAGGAAATACAACAGAAGAGCTGTGTGTGCGGTGGAGTCAGTTAGGTGCTTTTTATCCATTTTCCCGTAATCACAATGAAGATGAGGCTATGGATCAAGACCCTGCATATTGGAGTAAAGATTCTACTAAGGCAATCAAAGAATCCTTGATGCTAAGATACCACTTACTACCGTATATATACACTTTATTTTATAGATCATACTTAAATGGAACAACTGTGGCTCGTGCCCTCGCATTCGAGTTCCCTGAAGACTTGGCCACACATAAAGTCGATTCACAATTCATGCTCGGATCGTGTCTCCTGGTTACTCCAGTGCTAGATGAGGGTCGGACATTCGTTGAGGGTTACGTTCCATCAGGAGAATGGATTAACCTATCCACTGGCAAACGGTATTTCAGTCGAGGTACATGGAAATATTTCGATGCTCCTCTGAATGTCATTCCGATTTCTATTCGTTGTGGGTGTATAGTTCCAATGCAAGTTTCTGCTGAAACAACAGATATCGCTCGTAAGAAGGGATTTGGTTTATTTGTGATCTTGTCTTCAACTGATGATGGAAGTAGTGCTGCTGGTCAGAGAATCACAGCATCAGGTGAATTATTCTGGGATAATGGAGATGATGCTAATTTAAACTATGTACATGTGAAATTTGAAGTACGTGATCGTACTTTAACAGTGACTTCTACACCTTCGAGTGTTGAAAGTTTAGAGAAAATTGATTTGAAAGAACTAGATGTTAAGACTATTCTTATAGTAGGTTTCATTAAAAGCCTGCAGAAATTCTTGTAAACAACAAACCGGTAGATTTTATGTTTGATAATGACTTGGAAACTTGTCAAATTAAAAATCAATCCTTTTTAACTTTAAGTAAGGAATTTATAATCAAATGGAGATTTTGATTACCTTTCAAACTTCCTTTTTACATTGCTCTTCATCATTCAGATTATTTTAAATGGGATATACTATTTAGCTACCAGGAGTTATACAGATAACTGTGCACCATTTTATAAATGCAACTTCAATTAACTGAATACATTACTTCTTTCCTTACTGTTATATAGTCATCAAAGTGTTTTGTTGTTGATTGTTTTACTTTTTTTTAATCACGATTGCCTTGTTTTCTTTACAGTAACTTATTTTTAAGAAGTGATATTGATTGTTTATTAAAATAATTTTAGTTATATGTTGAATTAAATTTGTTCTGTTGATAATTCTAATTTGTTTAAATAACACCAAGATTTACATCAGTCTCATTTATAGTACTATTAATTACCAGAGAATAGTCGAGAGACTTTGTTGCGGTTAATACTGTTCTTTCTAACTTTATTAACCTTGAAAACTTTTAATTTCAGAGATATTTTAATCATGAGATAAAAGCTGATAAATAACCCACCGATTGTGAGGGCAAGATAAATAACTGTTTCGTTCTAGCTTGTGACTCTTCGGAAGTATGCACCCATGAACCCTCCAGGGATTAAGTTATTATGTTGTCCGGTTGTCTGCGTCTAATACTGATATATGTGCTTCTTATATTCGTGGCCAAACCAGCTAATTGAGTGAGAATACTTATAGTTTATGTCTATTACCTTAGAAAGTGAGTCAAATCTTGATCAGTAATGTCCACATGTCAACATCTATCACTTATTATTTGACCGATGCCTGACTGGCCCGGCGTTTCATAAAATCAGGACACTGAAGTACTACAGGAGCACCATTCTTTTAGACTGGTGTACCAGAATTCGTTGGTTTGTATTTTCAGCGATAAAGCACTGCACATGTTCTAAAAACCCCAATTTAAGTCCCAACCGCTCTTCTTGTTCTTCTAAATCTTTCCAGCTGAAATCAGTCACTGTTCTGTTATATTTTCTAAAAAGTATTTCCTTGACACGACTCAATTATCAAAATGCATGTAATCGTCTCTACTGTAAATACTTCTGCCAGTTTAATTTTTAATGCTGCTTGACATGGAGAGCATAGTTGAGGTATTTCGGGTTGATGATGAAACATTATAATTAATGCCCTGTGTAACTAACTACATGTTTGTTATAGCATCTGGAATATCCATAATAAAACACTTATACTAGCTTATGATAAACGAGACAACAATAATGAGACATGCCTGCTCCATGGGGAAATTTCTTGCCATTAAAATTAACCATAAATTCAACTGAGAATGTATAAAATCCTTTAGAAATCCCAATGTCCCTACAACATTCGGTAATATATGGGAAAATAAACCCAGAAATAACTGGGTGTAAACGAAGATATGACATCAAGCAGTACTTATATACATCGTCTTTCACATCCTGAAACCATTAGCATTCGGGATATTTAATAGATGGGCAATGCAATAATGATCTGTCTGTCAACCTGTTACCGGTAAAGTTGTGTGATCAGTTGACTTACGTAGGTTGGGATTAAAATCACACATAATGATTCTTCACATTGAGCAACCCTAATTTCGGGAAAAAGTCCTCCTACTTTCTTGAAAATTGCTAGTGTACGTGAGTAATTACAGCTAATACCTCTCAGTGGGGGTTGAAAAACTGATAAGAAATTGTTTCACTGTGAATATCATAGACCAGTATATAACTCCTTCTCGCACCCACTGAGTATTCGAAATCTAGCAAAAGTCATTAATTAGTCGTTTTCCTCCAATAACATAAGGAGTAGGCTAGAGAAAGAACTGGCTACAAAGAATTTATGACATTATTTTCAGTAATCCAAATAAGTAAAATAGACGATGGAGGTATAAAGTTCATCGGCAAAAGAGTTGGTTTGTATGAAACGGAACACATTTTAATAAATATCAGAGGTGAACATTACGGATCTTACATGTGCATGGAACATATGGGAGAATTTTTTAAAATCAGTATCTGATTTTAGATGTATTGTATTAGCATTTAGCAGAGATAAGTAGTCGGATCACTAGCTCGTGATTAGATTCCTGTGCACACTTTTAAACGTACAGGGTTATTAGGCCTAACGAATTATTCATACCAGTGAAATATCTTAATCATTTTAAACTCCTACAGAAACGTTACTTTAAGTCAGATGATTTGAAAACAGTTGCACAAACAAAAATAATTTTTAACCAAATTAAACAAAATTGCATGTTAAAAGCCATTATTGAGGTGCTATTAGCACTTAATAATACCTCAAGAGTACAAAACTTAATTCTCATTCCGTTAAACGGGTTAAAGCACCTCAAAATGCAAATACACAGTGCATCTCGCATAGTGGTACATTTATAGACGACTCTAAAACCACTTCAGACCTTTCCAATGGTATTTTGGAAAACAATAGTGAATTACTAAATGACACTGATTCAAAAATCATGTAGTGACTCGTAACTACATAAAATCTGTTTCTTTCAATTATCTAAGAATTAGCGAACCTACGAAATCCCCCAAGGTGTAAAACGGTCATGGAGTGGACAGCATTGCATCGATTTACTTCAAATACAGTGGGTCTGGTATTCCACTACTTCTTCTACAACCGTTTGCTCCCTTTCTGGAGACAGGTACCCACGTTTACAATTGTAAGACCGTATATTTTATATCACATTAGAAATTGGAGATAGGAATGACATGAACAATTATCAGCCAATAAATATTACTCTAGTTGTCTCTAAGATAATGGAACAAATTATTTGTGACAAACTCTCCAACTATTTACACACTGAAAAGCTTATCACTGTTTCTCAACATGACTTCCTTAAAAACCGATCTCTTATGATCTACTAGTTTGACTAGTTCAATTTAGTGTTTGGTCGATGTGACCGAGGATATGTAGTTTTAGTGCAATACATTGATATTTCTGAAGCTTTTAACATGGTCAATCACTAACTTCTTATAGACAAACTCTGATCTTATGGGATCAAAAACTCTGTTTACTTGGTTTAATTCTTTCTTCAGTCACCGACATGAAATAGTCAAAATGAAGTATTCCTCGTGGGATGCAGTGTCAGTCAAAATTGGTGTGATATAAGGTGTTGTCTTTTGTGATTTTTTGTCCTTTTAGTTAATAAAAGTGGTATTCGCGATTGTTTCAGTATGGGTAATCCTCTTCTATATACAGATGATCTTGAAGTGGTGTATTAATTTTCTCGTCATGAGCTCCATTAATTGAACCCATACAGTTCTTAAATATTTTATGCTGCTTGTACTTTACTACTGAATGTTTTCAGTAGTCAAGTTCGTTAAACAAAACTATTATGCACGCAGTCAGATCATTATGCTTCATTCTAATTATACGGTATTATTTATATGCACAGGTGAAAAATATTAAACCAATCAAGACAGCTTATGAATCAGTGATAACAATGGAACAAATTACATAAGTAGTCATAATAAGTAGAAAGTACGAACTCATAGTAACATGATAGGTGTACTTGTAGTGATAAGAATATTGAAACCTCGATCCAATGTTTTAGTATAGGAAGTCGGTAGAACTCCGAAAAAGACATTGAAACAACAATCACTTTAAATTATTGAAGTTGAGTAATAAGATGTTTTCGAATAATTAACAAGTAAAGGATACATACGAAAGAGAATGTGGAAAAACAAACGAATGAAAGATATGAAGGGTAGTGACAATGAAAAGTTGTTTGTCAAGCCTCATGTGTTGAAGGAAGTTACAGGGTGTTAACAGAAATATAGATCTAGTTTATCGAAAGTTTCCCCAATGAGCCCATTATATAACTTTGTTAGAAAAAAATCAGGTGAAATCTGATCTGAAAAAAAATTAATATAGTTGCTCAACACATTTCGAATAAACAACGAACATAATCCATTGAGAAATCTTCTTTATGTTCCAAACAATCTGACAACATGTTTATCTATTTGAAGAGTTTTATCATAAAAAACTTTAAATTAGTTGAGTATAAAGTCAAAAAAAAATACAAAATGATAGGTAAAAATATAAAATAGAGAGAGGTGTGTCGTGGTACGATATAATGTGAATAAAAAGTTTTCACATCACTCATTGTATTCAGAACTACCGGTGTAGATTTAAAGTGAGAAAAAAGAGGCTTATATACTTTTGAGGGAAAGGCTACCAAAAGATTTAGCTCACCGTTGAAAATTTCTATGTAAAAATTTAAATGCTGTTATAGGATCAATCCTATGACTTTTGTAAATAATATTTTTCATACACATAGTTCCCTTTATCATTTTGAAAAGAGCAAGAACAAAGATTCTAGCAGAATAACATGAATTCATTTTATTTCATAGGTTCTCGTCAGCTGCTTACAACCTATAGTATTTAAAAAGATAATAATTACATAATGGGTTTGAATTGCTTACATGAGACGGTTTATATTGAAGAAATATTCGTAAAATATGACATGGTGTAAATGAAATTAATAGCTGAATATTGTAAATATATACCTAATGTGAAAGAATATTCTACAACATTAATTATGACAACAGTTCAAAGGGGTAGAAACAATTGAATACATAATGAACAAACATTGATAGGAACATAGTGAGTAGAGTTCAGTTGAAAGATTATTAATTTTTAAAGATAGTTGAAAAAAAAATAAAATCAATGACGTAATAAATATAAAAGGCAAAAATTAAAAAAATTTTAAGCTGCAGCGGAAGAATATTTGTCACCAAGGCAGGGAAAGATTAACAATCATCTCCTTCTGAACACACAAATCAGGTTTTTGGCGCCTGATAGCAACTGCTTCAGCAAACTTCAGAAGACTGGAGTTTGGCTGCTTACTAATAACCTTGAATGATTGTAGGATGTCAACCTGATGGCCTGTGTCAAGGAGATGTTTA